AGTATATAAATAAAAATCTATTAGAAAATACATATCTTTTTAATTTTTACTTATGTACCTTTTAACTGGCATTTATATTACTTTATTTTTAATGACATTGTATGTATACTTGTCATTGTTGGTTGGTATCCTCTCAAGTAACACAGTAGTTTCAGCACTCTATTACTAAAAAAAAAGAAAAGAAAAAAAAACTTAGAAACATTGTCTAATTTGAACGAGACTTATTTCTCGAAAAAAAAGAGATGTTTTCGCTAAGTAGCGCGTTAACATTGAATTTACAGAAAATGCAGGCAGCAGACCGCCTCGTAAAAAGGCAAAGAAAATGCCTCCTGGTGCTACGTCAGTGGCTCCCACAGCGACGTCAACACCTCCTAGCACTGTCACAACGGTAGGTTAAGCCTGCTAGATTTCGCCCTTTTTCCTCGCAAAATCAAAAGAGATTTAGAGGAAATCCAATTTCATGAATAAGTTATTTCATGATTTACAATAACCATTGATTCCTACATGAAATATTTTTGCATTAAATTTTTGAATTATTATTTTCTTTTTTTTAATTTGCAGATTTTATTGTTTATTATGAATTAAGATACTCAATTTAAAAAAGTTTTGTATCTATTGAGGTAAAGGTTAAAAGGTACCCTTTTGAAACACTTACAAAATAATTTCCTACCCATGATGAACAGTGGATGATAAATAAGTTCTTAAAATTTTTTTGTAAACAAAAAAAAATCAGTATACAAGCTTTGAAATATGAAAAAAAAAAAAATAAATTAATAAAACGAAAATCATTGATTTTGTGTTATTGTAGTACGAAAAAAAAAGATTATCGTCCACTGCCATCCCAGAATGGTACACATTAAATCAAACATTTAATTCCCCTTATGAAATTCACTTGATTTATTGAAATAATATATAATTCAAGGTGTAGAGATCTGTTCTCGAAGACACAACACAATGCATAGTGATGTTTTACATAGGATATGCATCAACCACCATTAAATTTTTGTCAACAAAATTATTTCATAGTATCGATATTTAACTTCAAAAGTACAATTTTAATTATGAAGAAGAAATGCTTGAATAGTGACAAAATATACAAAACTAGAGTTAATTTGAAAATTTGTTTCAAGGAGGTACCTTATACTTTTTTTGTACCAATTATTAAAAAATATTTCATACGTTTTTTTTTCATCTTCATTAATTGTTGTTTGTATAAAAGAATTCAGTGATCTAACTGACGGACTTGATATATTTTTTCATTCAATTTTCTAACTCTCCAAGTCTCTACCGCGTATTCACTGCCAAATAAAATTGTATGATGTTTTTACTCGTCTAACAAGTAAAAACCACATTTTTTGATGAGAATTTACGACCCTGCGCAGGCAACAAACTTAAATCATACTGGCAATATGATGTTGAATAGTCAAGCGTCATCCAACTCAACGGGACCAGCGTCGAAGGCTACCGCCATTGCGCAGCCTAGCAATAATCCCGCTGATCAAGGTATAAAAAATGACTTTGCTTGATATAAAGAAAACAATGAACAAATTGTCGATTCAACTAATTAATAGTAGCCATGACTAATTATTGCGTTCTTAGACCTAAATATCTTTTTTAGTATTTTAACATTGAATGTAAAATTGTTACTCTTTTTTTTACACACTAATCATCTCTAAAAATTCGAAAAATGTTTTTTACATGAATGTCGAGAAAACTTAAGAGGGAGCTTGCATGATGATTTTTATAATGTTTTATTTAAACTTGTAACGTATCCCTACTTATTAACCTTGTAAAGGTAGTTTATTACTTTTATGGTGTACATACCACAAACGATTTTTAAGTGAAATCATCATTACTTATAAATAATTACTATATTATTTACGATACTCTTTGTTCAAACTATAACTCCCAAGCTTTATAACAATTTTTTTATATGAAAACACTTTGAAGCCATTGAAACAATACATATTTAAAAAAACAAAAATTTTTTTAGTCATCTTAAATTATAATATATTGTTTAAATTTTCCAGTAATTATACGTAACAAATAATATTTACTTTAAAAAAAAACTCTAAATCGGTTTTATGTTTAAATATTTATTTTATACACACTTTTTTATAATTCAAAATTAATATTTAAAAAGTTTCAGTAATTTAACTACAATATCTTTCAATTAATAAATTATGCAAGCTCCCATTCATACATTCCTATATATGTTTTGTGCTGTTTTCAGTTGTTGTTCTGAGTTTCATTTTAAGATATATTT